TAGCTATAAAGATCTTTGCTTATTTCAGTCAGTATAAAGTGTACTAAATGACTGAGGTGTGTTTCAATGTTCCCAAGACTTTCCAAACACACAAATCTAATCTTAGAATACAGAAAGCCATTATAAAATTTTACCTTAAAACAAATTTCAAGATACATTTTTAAATGAAGAAAATGGACCCTAATTCTTGATGTGTAAGATCATTCTATAGGTGTATTTATAAATTGGAAATAAGATATCTGAAATGTTAAGAAAAATCACTGGATGATGTAATTTTACATTTATATTGTGCATTTATAATATGTATGTAAAGAAAAAGCTTGACATGTGCACACACACACACACACAATGCACACGCACAAACATAGAGACCAACCTGAGGAGAAATTAATCTGATGTTTAAAATAATAAACAATTTAAGGAGATAAAACATGAAGTAGTTCTGTGGCTCTCCTTTATTGCATTTATGGAGAAGAGTATGACTAATTCTGTTGGACTCAATCATTGTCTTTGTGCAAACTCTGAAGACAATTAGAGCAGTAGTACTCAAACTTAGTGCATATTAGAATCTCCTGGAAGACTTCCCACTGACTTTTTGATCCATAATTTTCTAGTAGGGTCAGAGCATTTGCATTTCTAACAGATTTATGGGTGATATTGCTGGCTTTAGGACCATACTTTTGATGACTCCAAAATTTGTGGAGCATTTGAGATCTTAACTATCATCTAACACATAATTATATGGTAGGAAACAATCACCCACCACTACATTTACTTCACTGCTCGGTTTCCACAGTTGAAAGAATTTCCTGAGTCAAATTAAAAGTATTTTCTAACAAACATAAATGCTAATTAATTACATTTACATCTGTAGAGCTGGCACTTTATTTTATTAAACTTGAATTGGATTGAAAATTAATGCTTTCATTATACCTAAGGACTAGCTTAGATCCAAAACCTTTTTTTTTATTTACAATATTATATTTCTGCTGCAAGGAATTTAAATTACAAGCCTTTTAAAAGTACTCAGCCATCAAATTCAACCTCCTAAAATGATTGTGTGTAACCTTGTGAGGCAATGCACTTAGATTCTGAATTAAGTTGCACATTAGGAGAGTAAATTAGGGGGAATATAGCCAGTGGGTCTAACAGTCACTTCTCTTCAATTTTCAGACACATTAATGTACATTTTTGTAACATTTTTTGGTTTCTGTTATGCAATTAAGTCCCTGGAATTCCATGAAATGTTATAATTGGTTAGAGATGGACTTAAAATAAAGTCAAATAAATTAAATGTACTGTGCTCTGAAGATTTAACTACATACTTTTTTACATTTCAAAATCCAACAGGCAAGATAAAGTGCAACATCTAAAATCCAGCTTCCTAGAAAGGAGCCTACTGAATAACATAAGATGATGTGTGAAAATATCCATCCAGCACCTGGCACTTAGTAGTTCCTCATTAAAATCACATGGTGTGTCTTGAAAACTCCAGGTTCCTGAGCCCCACTCTATATCAATTAAATTTGAATCCCCAAGGATCAGAGATAGTTATCTATATTAAAAGACAAAGGAATGAACACTCTCATAGTGCTATTGGGAAAGAAATGAAAGAGAAAGAGATAGATTGACAAGTTGAAGTTTTCTATTGTTATCATCAGCCTGAAACTGTGTTTATGAATTTCCCATAGGAATGTAGCATGCGGATTGGGAGGCATAACACATGTCACTGTCCTTCACAAAGAAATTTGAGCCATTTTGGTATCTGTGACTGTTAACAAGGTCCCTGCTGGCTTATTAGATTTTCTATCCACGGGGAATCCTTGGACAAGAGTGAGGCAGTAACACATTCTCACTGTTAATGGGTGAAAATAGCAAGCCAATAAATTAATTTTATAGTCCATAGGAAAGGAGGTTCCTAAGGAATGTCAGCAAGTCAGTACAGACACAAGCCAACTCTAGTGTACAGAAAAAATACACACACTCAGGTTTTGAAATCCATGATATTTCAAATCCAATTCCTTGATTTCCTCAATTACCAGTTTGAATTTATTGATAGATGTGTTATTTAACTTTGATAAACTTAGGTTTTTCTCATCTGCCAAATTGGGAACGTAATAATATTCGATATTTATATCACAAGTAGTCCTGGGATTCAAATGAGGTCACATACAGTAAAGGTATTTGAAAAGCTTGCTGTGTAAATTATTACTACACATGTGATGCCAAGAATTTCCTCTTTGACTTGCTCTTCTAAAAGAGAATACAATCTCAGCAAGAGAAGCTACTGATTTGGTATAGTCATTTCTTATTTTCCCAAGATGATTTATCATCTGAAAATAAATCATATAAATATGTAAAATAGAAAATAATCTATTCACATTTTTATATTATTCCCATCCATGACATTTTCTCTATTTTGTCACTTAAATATCAGAGTAGAATGAAGGACCCTTATAGGTTTTATGGGAAGATATGTATCTTTCCTTCCCAATCTCCATAGGATTGGGTAAAGACTGGTAAGTATTTAATATTTGGTTTTCTTCTAAATACAAAGACGTATAGGCTCTTTAAAAAAAAAAAAAGTATTTTTATTGATTTCAGAAAGGAAGGGAGAGGGAGAGAGAGAAATATCAATGATGAGACAGAATCATTGATTAGCTGCCTCCTGCATGCCCCACACTAGGGATCAAACCCACAACCCAGATATATGCCTTGATCAGGAATCAAATCGTGACCTTCTGGCTCATAGGTCTTTGTTCAACCACTGAGCCACACCAGCTGTCATGATTTAGTCAAGAATAAAACATTAAATTATGTGAAAAAAGGAATCCCCATAAAACTTCAGAGTATAATAAAGTGATTTTAATATGAATGATGGATAATAAGATATATTTTCTAAAAGTGATATGGAGTTCTTAGTTTTAAATTTATACTTTTTGTAATATCCCTGAAATTATATTCTCCAAAACTGTTTATAATTATGACTAAAACAATTTGGAATCCACTTAAAATTACATGAGAGCCTATATAAAATGAAGTATTAAATTTTCATTTGGTGCTACTCAAGAATAAAAGCTTGAAGACCATTGCTCTTTGATATGTGAATTATTGCTTCACAATAAAGGCAGTAACCATGCATTCAAGAGATTCAAGAGCTTAAGCTCTAAAATAAAACAGTCTTGTTTCCAACCTTAACTCTTTTTATTTGTTTTGCAATCTTAAACAAGTTACATGACCTCCCTAAGTCCCTTTTTAAAGTTTATATAATGAGATGATGAAGGATCATTCTGAAGGTTATATAAATTAATTATGTTTAATTTTGGGAAAAATTTCTGCACCTAATGAGTGTCATACATAAAAGTTGTCATAGACAAGCAAATTCAGATGGAAGTGATTGTCCTTAGGCAAAGCTTCCTGAGGGGCCTGGGCGTTCTATGATCTCTCAGAACAAATTCAAAAAGCTCAAATGGCCGAAACCGGTTTGGCTCAATGGATAGAGCTTCGGCCTGTGGACTGAAAGGTCCCGGGTTCAATTCCGGTCAAGGGCATGTACCTTGGTTGCAGGCACATTCCCAGTAGGGGGTGTGCAAGAGGCAGCTGATCGATGATTCTCTCTCATCAATGTTTCTAGCTCTCTGTCCCTCTCTCTTCCTCTCTGTAAAAAATCAATAAAATATATATATTTTTTAAAAAAGCTCAACTGGAGGGGATAAGTCACCAATTGAAGGGGTAGAAGTACTGTGAGCCAAAAGCATTTAATGCAAAAGTCAAGAACTGTACCTTTAAAAATGAAGAGGTGGATTACAAAATAATTTTATTTATTTATTTACTTTTACAAAATAATTTTAATTGCATGCAATGTAGCTAGACTCCCCCTGTCCAAATTGTAGTGCCTTTACCATGTCTATCCTCCATCATCATCATCAGCAGCAGCAGCATCCAGTTTCTGCTTGCTTGATTTTTCTAAATTCTGAAATTCAATAATATGCCTTTGTCCATATTCCCTCAACTGGGTTCCAGCATAGAATTTAACTTCCTTCTAACTCCTGTGAGTTCTGAGTCTTGAGTTCTGCTTATGTCTTATGCTTTGTCTGAATGGGCTCAAATAATATCTTACTACACCTCTTCCCTGGGAGTGAGTGAGAAAGAATATACCAAAACCTCTAATGTTGAAGCTTAACTGAAGTAAGTTAAAATCCCAACTTTACCACTCCCTCCGTAGCCTTGGGAAACTCAGCTCTTCTCTGAGCTTCAGTTTTCTCTTATTTACACTGGGGATAATAATTTATAATTGATGGAGTTACTGTAGATTGGCAGACATATATCACAAAAAACGCATTTAGCCCAATTGACATTCAGAAAATAATTGCTCTTATTAAAATTATTATTCCCGCTATTAGTATTCCTGATGCAATGAATGGAACAATTTAATAGTGTTCTGATGAACTTTGAAATGAGTATTTTGCAAAACAAAGACAATCTGACCCGATGCCCCCAGGCTGTTGACAATGCAGTGATGTGGAAGGTCACAGATATTATATTTTCTCTGAAACCAGAAAACAAAATTTAAAGTAACCAGAACTGGTATGCAAAAGGACAAATAACAGGCTAAGAAGATGTGCTCTATGTATTGTTCCAGACTGAAGAGAAAACCACTATGCTGATTATTATTTATAAGGTCTTGCTATTTTTCAGTATCTAAAGGAGGAATAATAAGCAGAAGCAATAGGAAGGACCACAATTTGGCTCTACCTATTTCATCTAACAGAGGTACCCAAATTAATACCAATCAATTCCAGTAAGATTTATTAAATAAATGCTCACAGGGTATTCAGAATGTAAAGAATCCCAATACAGAATGAATTTTATAATTACTTTATGACTTTGAATTAAGCTTCCACTTCTAATTATAAAACAAATGAAATAATCACTTAGGTTTTCAATCATTAAGCCAAACTAACTTCCCCTCCTCCCTCCAATTTTCTTTTTACCAACAGGATTTGCTAGTCCACTTACTGGGATAGCAAATGCCTCTCAAAGCAGTATGCACAATGCCTTGCACATCTATATGAATGGAACGATGTCTCAGGTGCCAGGATCTGCCAACGACCCCATTTTCCTTCTTCACCATGCATTTGTGGACAGGTTGGTGGACACTTCTTCATAAATCATGTGCATATTAGTGTAAAATGTAGTGTGACGTTAGCCGTTACTGAAAAGCTAAGGAGCTGTGGGGGGGTGTCTATTTTCTCAGATCAGGTTCTTCCAGAAACAGAATTAAACTAAGGATTTGAATGTTTTATGAAAATGTTTTATACAGACAATCCAGCAGGAGAAAGAGTAAAGCAGGTAAGAAGGAGGAAGAGTACAATTTCAGTTGTTGAAGTCCCAGACTCAATCAAATCATGGTAGAGTATAAAGTATCTTCTCAGATTGTCTTGCTTTAAGACAAAGGAACTGAGTTTTCGTATTCCCATATTAAAGAGCCATTGGCTACAGGTTGCCTTGAGGTAGGAACAGGAAAGTTCCCAGGTGCTAGCCAATTCCAGGCAGGTCCAGTGTCCAGCGGTCCTCTTCTAAAGGTTTCGGTGGCAGTGGTCAGGGTTAAAGCACGTGGAGTCCGGAAGGTGGGCACAAAGAACTGGTGCAGACCTATCTAACACCATCTGGACAGGGCACTAATCTGCTGTCATATATACATACATGTGTTTTATTTCTCTCTTTCTAGCAATGTATTGTTACTTCATTTCCAACTTCAGACCTTCACATATAAACAGATATAGCCTTTGATTTCAACCATTGGTCTGAGCATTATATGAGCAGTTCTCCAGACAGGATGCACTAAGGCTCAAACATCCTGTTTAATGTGATTTAATTCTCCCAGAGTTTTGTTTTTTGTTGTTGTTGTTGTTGTTGTTGTTGTTTGTTTGTTTTTCTCCCCTCTTAACCTTCTCCCATGATAGCAGAAAAGAAAGTATATAGAGAATGGTCAGCTCTCTTATTCTAGAATTCAAGAAGAGAAAAGATAATAAAGCATCAAATTATGATAGACAAATATAGGATTTTTTTGGTCCTTTATAAGTTACTTTTATCACCACAACAGCTAATAAATTAAAAGCACAGATTTATAGCTATCCTGAAACTATTGCTGTCATTTTTTTCATAAATATAACAGTCTCTGTGTTTTCCTGTTGTAAAAATAAGAAAACCAAAACCGAAAACTAAATTTTTACTCATCACCATTCCACCTCTTGTTTTCAGGAATGTGGACATAATATCAAATAAGAAAGTAACCGTTAGTGTGGAAGATTATGAGAAAAAAATTTATTGCCTCTATGGCCACTCTAATATTATAGAAATTCATTAATATCCCAAGTCCAATTTTATTCAGGAAACATTTAAGGAAGTGTATAAACACCAAAATTATGATAGTAATAACCTATCTAATAAAAGAGAAGCATGCAAATTGACCATACCTCTGCTACACCCACCAGCCACACCCACCAGGCAATCAGGCCCAAGTATGCAAATTAACCCAACCAAGATGGTGGTTAATTTGCATTTCCAGGCACAGAGTGAGGACTGAAGACAGCATGAAAGGAAGCCAAGCACTGCAGAAGGGAGGAAAGCTACAGAGAAGCAAGCAAGCGGGGTGGCGGAGATGGCTGCAGGAAGCCCTATTGCAGGAATCTTCCTACATCGGGCCTCTAGTAATACTCTAACCACCCATACCCATATATAGAAGAGGGAGGGAGTGGGTTAAATAAACATCTTACCGGAAATGACAGATTGAAGTATTTTCACTCAGTCATGTTTACATTTTACTGTCCTTGAGAGTTTTGGGCATTTTTTAATCTTTAATGTTATCTCATGAACTTTAAAGAATTCTAGATTTCTGAGGTACATTGATGTCCTAAGCAAGGAATCATAAACTATGGCTAATGAGTCAAATCTATGTTTACCTTCTTTGTAAATAAAGTTTTATTGGAGGATAGCAGAGCACTTATTTACATACTAGAGGCCTGGTGCATGAATTCATGCATGGGTGTAGTTGTGGCTGGTGATAGAAGCCTATCAGGGGGCCGACCCAGGGGGAGGGGCCCCAGGATATTGGCTGGCTGGGGGGAGGGACCAAAGGTGGTTGGCTGGCAGGCCCTACTTCCCAAATCAGAGGATGAGGCCAGCGAGAGGAAAGGGCCACAGGCAGTTGAGGTGGGCCAATTGCTCACAGACCTCACTGGTTGTCAGCTGCAGTGCATGTCATAACAACTGGTGGAGCTCCAGGTTGTTTGAACTCCCACTCAAGGGGACAATTTGCACATTAGCCTTTTATTATATAGGAGAAGAAAAAATGTTGACCTTTAGCTAGCCCATCAAATGTGTGAAAAATGCTATAACTGAATTCAATACCTGGAATCATGTTTGTTTAACAGAGATAGAGCCATTATGCAGATGTAAGGCTTTTAGATACTATTCTACCACCTTTGAAAATTAAAAATGTCTTTCATCCCAGAATTCTTGGTTAAACCTATTTTAATATTAGATACCTGTGTGATTATTAAAATAACTCAAAAATCAGCCTGCAGTAAAGTAGTGTCTAATTAAAACCACATAGCCAAGCTAATGAAGATTCTGGGCATGTAGAGGGGAAAAGGAGCAGCATTATAAAGAAGGATATAGACCCATGGATACCACAGAATACTGTGGCATCTGAACTTGCCTTTCACATCTCTTCTTACAGAGACTCATTTCTTTAATCAGAGGTCTATTCACTGCCATTCAATTAGTCACAAATATATTTATTGAGCACCTACTATGTGCTAAATGTATTTGCCTGAATAGTTTACATTCTTCTCTCCATGCAATGCTTACACTATATTCCATCCTGAAACCTATTTTCCTTGATTTATCTAATTTCTACATAATCTTTAAGACTAGTTTTAATTTCACCTCTTCCATTAAGTATACCCAGACCATGTCTGTCTATAACCATATCTCCCATTAAGAGTGTGTTGGAACCAGCTTACATGAGCTAGCAAGAGCTAATATGTATATTTTTTCCCAACTTTGCTTTAGTGACTTCAAGCTGTAGCTTGAAATCAGCTATGGTAGGAGTATTTATACAATGAAATTGGCAAATGCTACAAATCAAGGCTTTTATTCTGAGAGCTGGTTATTAAAATAATAGCCAACACACCACTGTTCTCATCTATTAACTCTCATCACTTCCTCTCTCTACCCTTCATTTTGGACACATAATTCACATTGTTCTTGTTGATTATGTTATTCATTTGTGTTTTGTCTCTCCCACTAATCTGTGAACTACTTAATGGCAGGACCCATGCCTTTTTATTATATTCATTTTTCTCAGTATTTTGTCTAGTATATAATTAGTAGACATATAATTAATTCTTATCAGTAAATGATTTTTAAAAACCTTAGCAAATTACATTTATCACAGCTGCAAAAGGAACCTCTATGGAGGAGACATTTTAATCGAAGAAATTATTTTCGTAACTCTTGAAGAGCAAAATGTAATAATCATTCAATGCTATGAACATGTTTTAAGATTTCAGCATGTCTCTAGACTTTTAGATGTGGCATTAAGCACTGAGGAAACCGAATCATGAGATAGGATCACCGGCCTGAGAAAGCAGTCTAACGGGAGTACAACCAAGTAAATAACTGCAGTACACTATGATTCCTGCACAGTCGTGGGAGATATTCTTAAAAAGTTATATAAAAAGGATGATATATGAACTGAGCCCTTAAGAAAAGAGGGCCTATAAGACAAGGATGGATATTCAAGGTTGGGAAGTACAACTCGTAACTCATTTTAAAACCAATAAGAAAGTGGAAGTATGAGCTGAAGAAGAAAATGGAAGCATGGCATTTAAAACAAGAAAATAAGCCTCAAAGCTCATATGCAGAGAAAGTGATAAAAATTCCAGTGGACAAATAATCTGCCATCAAAAGCTACCCATGTTGGGCAAATAAAAACAGAAACTAAAAGTGTCTGATAACAGCAACAACAACAACAACAACAAAAAAGACCAAAACTACATAAACTAAATAAAATTCTCCTTGCCACTTAAAAGAAATCAGAGCATGGATCTAACATAATAATTTAAAATATATTTAATTTTTCCTATGTTCTAGACCGTATTCTAAACTCTTTATAAGTTTTGTTTCATGTAATCCATAACAAGTCTCTAATTTAGGTTCTAGTATTATTCCTACTTGATAGATTAAAAAGATTACAAGGCCTTGAACAGGGAGTATCCCAAACCCTTGCATCTCTCAGTGATCTTTGGTTAATAAACTGCTCTGAAAACCCCATGTTCTTTTTTTATATATATATATTTTATTGATTTTGTACAGAGAGGAAGGGAGAGAGATAGTTAGAAACATCGATGAGAGAGAGTCATCGATCAGCTGCCTCTTGAACACCCCCACCGGGGATATGCCCGCAACCAAGGTACATGCCCTTGACCAGAATCAAACCCGGGACCCTTCAGTCCCCAAGCCGACGCTCTATCCATTGAGCCAAACCAGTCTTCGGCTGAAAACCCCATGTTCTTGTCAGCCAAGTATCTAACACATGTTTCTTTACCTACCACCCAGTTTTGTTTAAAATACAGACAAAAAAATTTAAAAAATAATCCTTTATATTATAAGCAAATGTAATAAGCAATAAACCAAGAAAATAAGGCCATCAAAATTGAGAACACTTTGCTACAGTTTTAAAAACATTTTCTAATTTTTTTAAACTTAAGTATTATAAATCAGGTCAAATAAAATTCACTTTCCAAATTATGTCTCATATTAGCTTTCATCTTTTTGAACTAATAAAAAAAAAAAAAAAAAAAAGAACATGGGGTTTTATTGTTGATTTTTATATATATTGTTGATTTTTTACAGAGAGGAAGAGAGAGAGAGAGAGAGAGTTAGAAACATCGATGAGATCATCAATCAGCTGCCTCCTGATACATGCCTTTGACTGGAATCGAACGTGGGATCTTTCAGTACATAGGCTGACGCTCTATCCACTGAGTCAAACCAGTTCCAGCCAAAGTGACTTTTAAAACAGATTTCAGATGCTTCACAAGTTCAATACACACTTTTATTATAATATTATATGCTCT